AATAATGATCTTAACATAATGATCTTTAAAATAATATAATAATCTTATAATAACATAATGATCTTTATGTTAATTTAGAGAATGGGTGAAGAGAATCTAGTGCTTAACCAGAAAAAAACCCCACCTGGTTTGATACATTGTCTTTCTTTCAGAATGATTTTTGCCTTCGTTTTATTGATATACATGTAAATTTTTTTTTTTAAGTGTATTTTTAAACTTTAGCTAATTAAATTAATAGGCTAATGTAAAAAAATATTCTTTACAGGCATGGCAGAAGGCGCGCAGTGTGGCTGGGAGAGAGCGTTCTGTGAAAAGAACTTCCTGTCTCAAGCAAGGATGGAAATCATTATAGGAATGAGAACCCAGTTGCTTGGCCAGCTTAGGGCCTCAGGTAAGTAGCTTGGAAAAATTTTTTACATAGTTTTGGAGTCAAGTGTATGCCTAGTACAAGTGTATACAAATTGTAACAAGAACAGCATTCACTGGTGTAATTTTCCTTCCTTAATTTGAAACAGACCAGTACACAGGGGTGCTGGGCATGGTGCAGTTGCTAGAGTGAGGAAGTGTGGGTAGGGAACAGCTGATCTAAATGAAAGTGCCCTGGTTGTTCCACATGCCACTGGCTTTCAGTGTGAGATATGTTTCCTTGGATTTTTACGTTCTAATAAATTATTTCCACAGGAAATTTCTTCATGTTATAAAAAGTAATTCTGTGTTAGTATAAAACACCTTATCAGGAAGGATGTAACGGTTTCTTCTTTGTGCTGTTAAGGTTGGCAGTGGGGAAAATTGTAACAAATTTGTAGCTTATTTCACTTTTTTTTTCCCAAATTCCTTTTTCAGAGGCAAAAAAGTAGATCTTAAATACAAGTATGTTTTTGTCCTCTTCTTTCTTCAGGCTTTGTTAGAAGCAGAGGAGGAGTCGATATTAGAGATGTTAATACTAATTCTGAAAATTGGGCTGTAGTTAAAGCTGCCTTAGTGGCTGGGATGTATCCCAATCTAGTGCATGTAGACAGAGAAAGCCTGGTTTTGACTGGACCAAAGGAGAAGAAAGTGCGATTTCATCCTACCTCTGTTCTTAGTCAACCTCAGTATAAAAAGGTAAAATCACTCTGAATTTATAGCTCCCAAAAAAGAGCGCTATATCAAATGTTTTAGAAACGTCTCTTCATAGTTGTCAGTACTTTAAAAGCAGCATGTGCATTAAACACTACGTTTTTAGAACACATTTTTCCTGGCAGTTGATAAAACAAAGAATTGGAGTTGGTTTATTTTTCCAATATTATTTCATCAAAACTTACTTCAGTGAGTCCTTCTTCTAGGCGGAATAAAACAAAATTATATAAAAAACTAGTTATGAAACTATTTTGAAGAGGTAACAATCTCTGCTCATAATAGCAGGAAGAAGTTCTGCTCTGGAACTTTTTTTTTTAGATCCTTTTTTAAAACAAAATATTTTGTTTCAAGGTGGTAAGATAATTGTGAGTCTGGTTGAATTCTCTCTCTCTTTTTAAATTGTGTGTATAAGTTCATGCATATATGAATATTTATTTATTTCTACATGTATAAAACAAGAAATATGTTAAGATTTATTTTAGTTACAAGTAGAGGGTAAAATAGCCTAGTCTTATTTGCTCTTGCACAGATTCCCCCAGCAAATGGGCAAGCTGCAGCCATTCAGGCACTCCCTACAGACTGGCTTATATATGATGAAATGACGAGAGCTCACAGGATAGCAAATATCAGATGCTGTTCTGTTGTAACACCTGTCACTGTGTCACTCTTCTGTGGACCAGCTAGATTACCAAGTAATGCTTTGCAGGAACCTTCATCCTTTCGAGGTATAGTAGGGTTTGGATTTGGAATGTTTCCATTGGTATACACTAGTATGTGATATGCAAGGCTTATTTTTCAAGCATATTTAATACGTATATTAGCTAATTCTTAAAATGACAGAGCTATAGTTCCTGTAGCTGTTCAAGAATAGTTTATAGGCTCTGTAATAAATGTCTCAGTTTTATGGATATGAATCTACAAGGATTCACAAATTACACTTACATAGTTCTGAACTCCCAGAAATTATAGTTTGTAATGAAATAAAAAATGCAAACAAAATGTCTGATGACAATACTAATGCTGAGAAGTGTAATATGCATTCTAAAGACTAGTTTATTTGATACTTTGAATCAGATTATTCAAACTAAATAATAATTTAGAAACTATCAATGTGGCAAACAGTCACATTGCTTCCAGCTGAAACATGCATTTTAAAGATTATTTTCTACTGATAACTTTTAATGACAATTAGCTTTACTATTAACTAAAGTAATAGGAAATATATAGAAATTTCCTTTTTATTTATTTATTTTTTATTTAAATGGAGTGCTGTAGGAATCAAAGCAAAAATAATCTATCCTGCTGCCAGTTCTCTAGAAATACTAGTTTGAATCAGAGTCCAAGTTCAGGACATGGTTTAGTGGGTGTGGTGGTGGGTTGATGGTTGGACTCGATGATCTTAAAGGTCTTTTCCAACCTAAACAATTCTATGATTCTGTGATTATTTTTGAAGCTTTCCTGTTTTGCTCTTAAACTGTTACCCTTGAAATAGTGTTTATGCTGATTGAATTGCACTTAAAAAAAAAATTTAGAATCCTACTTAATAGCCATATTTATATGTAATTTATTTTTTTTCTTAATGGGTCTTTAAATCTGCTGTTTTACTGGGAAATAAGCGTAGAGCAATGTGTGGTTTTGCAAACAGCGTCATGCAAAAGTTTGACAATGGCTTGTTGATACTGATGAAGGTACATGAGTGAGTCGGATCACACCAATACAGGTACTTACATAGCAGGGGCCTCAGCAGGTCTGGGTACTTGAGTTCTGCTAACTGAAGCAAAGACTTTTCACTGAGGTGTATGTGCTGAAAATAAAAAGTGGTTTTACAAATGTTTACATTCAAAAATAAAATTTAGAAGGAGAATGAATTCATTGCTGGTAATACAGTAGCGTTCAGGTTTTTGTATGTAAGTGGAAACAATACAGAAATGTTAATGCACCTTTTATATTTAATTCAGGGGATGGGGTATCTAATGATAACAGTGATAGTGAGATGGAGGACAAAACAACGGCTAATTTGGCACTACTGAAGTTAGATGAATGGCTCCATCTCAAACTGGACCCTGAAGTAAGTAGTGTATCACTTCAATGCTTGTTTCTTGTAGGCGGATATTTATGTCATATCTTACCCAAAAGACTTCTGAAACATTTGGGTAACCAAGATTTATCTGTAAGACTGGCTGTCACGGTCCATTTGGGCCTCAAATTTACAGGACAACATACTCTGTGATTTAACCTTTATTTCCTGAGCTCATTAAGAAGTACAACAAATAGAGGGGCTCAATTCCCTTTTGTCCAGAGTGGTCTTAACACCTGAATTCACTTACCATTCAAGTCGTAAGGTTCATAACTTAAAACTCTCAATTTGTGCACCTATGAGCAAAAAGAAAAAAAGAATTAGTTACCTAGCTGACGGTGAGAGTGCTCATCCTTCTGCCTCTGTCATGGTGCGGGTGTCCCCTGTATCTCACTGGGAAGCAGGAAAGCCTCAGCAGTGCAGCTGCTGTTGGATCCCCTTCAAAAGCTTTTTGGGTAACCTGATGTTTTGTACCTTCCAGCTTGGAGGTTTTTTCCATTTCCATAAGTTAGCAGATTCTTATGAAACTGCTAGACAAAAGACAATGGCTGCAGGAGACAGCAAGCTGCAGGTGATAGTGGCTGCATAATGGCCCTTCAGCTGTTTCTGGCTGCCTGTGCTGCCTATGTGGTGCTCTTGCTTTGACCTAATGGCACTGCTCCCAGCACACATCAAG